TTATTTTCTTTGTTCCAGTTTTATTTTCAGTAGTTCTTGCTCAATCCTAAATTTCGACTGTCCAAATAATTAGGGAAAATTGTGATTCTAATACTTATTTTGTTAAATCCCCCTGGGAACGATATTATTATACTACTTGATAACTAGTGCACTTGCTAGGGTTATATATTTATAGCTATCATCTAGAGATACCATTTGCCCAAAAATCCCTAAATATTTGAGCCTTAAACTTCAAATTTACCTTTAGTGTTTTAGGTTCAAGATTTGCAAGAAATCTCCAAGTTTATAACAGTTTCGGACTTGTCTTAACCTTAAAAGTTCAATTATAGAAACTTACCATGAGCTCGGAAGCTTGTTCAAATTCCCTTCTTATTTAGTTCAATTGCTGCAATTTCATTGAGAAAGCCACACACAAGAGGCAAACCTCTCACTTTACCATTTATCTTAGATTCATGATCTTTTTTTCTTAGTTTGGTTTTGGGTTGCTTGAAATTCTGAAACCTTGGAGAATTTGCACTCTCCACTCCTTTTAGGCTAAAATAAAGAGGTAGAGAGAGGGTCCCAAGGAATTCAATACTTAAGTCCTAATAACATCACCTCAAAATTAGTTTTAAGAGAAGTTTGAAGTGTTTTTCTCCAAATTTCAAGAATTCTTCGCAACCATTTTATTAGTTTTTTGCTACAATTTAAGCCTAAACAACTCCCATATTTGGCTGTGGCAACAGTTTGGAGAGAGGGATGCCTAACAACTTCCCTTTTCATTCATTCGAATCTCAAATCTCTTTGGTTGAATGCCTTTCCCATGGAGAATGGAGTCACTATCAAGAAAATAAAATTGATTTTCAAAGCTGAGAATGATGGCCTATTTCCTATAAAAAATGGGTGGTGAGTCTTTTAAGCCAGCCATGAGCTTTTCAGAGCTCACATGGACAAAATTGAAGAAAAGGAAAAATCTAAGCAAAGTGAGCCCTCTTTCATGAATGATGTGGTAGTAAAAAAGTACTACATGTTTAAGCTTACACTAACTACTAAGTATGCACATAGGAGCTTAATTATATGATTAATTAACTTAACAAATTTAATTAAATAATAAGTTAATTGTATAATTCGTTAACTAATTATAATTTAATTAAAAAACTTATTTAATTATTTAACTAATTAATTAATAACACAAACAATTAGTTAACTAATTAAGTTAATAATATAACAAAAATTTTAGATAAAATAATATGAATTAATAAAAAATATTTTAATATTTTTCCATTAATGTACGTTTTATTTAAAAAATAAAGTTTATACAAACTAATACATGCTTATTAATAAAAATAACCAAAAATCAAGAAAAATTTAGTTTTAAAAATAAATCGTACAATTTGATATTCATTTAAAAAATAAAATTATACTACAAATTTGTTGAAAAATAAAAGATTAAAAAAACTATTAGTTTTAAACTTAAATTACTATCAGTTTTAAAACCCCTGATCCATTTAAAAATACCAAAAAATAATACTAAATAAAAAACTAGCAAAAGTTAAAACAATTTAATAAAAATAAAAACTAATATAGTTTGGAATGTCACAATGCTCCTTCTAGGGGTGCAACTTGGGTGCGTTGGTTTGGGTTGAGGGTCAACCGAACCCCTATCCTAAGTCTTAAATTTTGAGCTCAGGCTTGACCCAATTTATGGTTAAGCTTGGTTTTACTAATTCAGGTCCAACCCAAGCTTAGCCCAACATCTCGAGATAGGCTTGGGATTGGGCGTGTTCAACTTTGTAGCACAATTTCCAGGTAGAAAAAATGTTGAGTGGGCTCAGATGAGATTATGTCAGGCTCGAGCTAATTGAGGCCTCAACTTAAGCCCAAGTTGAGTTTAGGTTAGTCCAAAGCTTTTTGGCCAAGCCCAGCTTGAAGTTTGAAAACTCAAGCCTAATCTGTGCAAAAGTTTTAGTTGAGCCAGATTAGGATTGGGCCCACCCAAGTTGCACCACTAGTTAGAGAATAAATTGGTAGCTCACCTAACAGCTTAAAACATTTTAGGTTGAACAGTTGTTTGAGAAGAATTAAGCCGCTCACAATAACTGGAATTCATCAGCGAGAAATTGACTAGACGAAACATGGGTTGGCCAGATTCTGTACTTGCTCCTTCAGCCCAATCTGACCTGGGCCATGCTTGAACATCCACAAGTGAATTATTATTTCCCTCACTTCAACCCGGAAATAAACAATAAACAACAAAAATATTAAATACATTTGTAAGGGGTTTTTATCATTCAGTACACCTCAATACCTCATAAACATGAGTAGGCCATAAATTTCCATATTTATAAAGTAAAGAAAAAAAAATTCATGGTATTTGACTGAATCTAATTATAGGCCTTTCTGTCACATATGCTGAGCAATTCACCAGCTATGAAGCTTCGCTCATAAAAAGAATTAAAGGAGATATATCATTTTGCATGTTTGAAATTTATTTATAATAAATGAAAACAGAAGGGATGATAAACAACAAGAAATAATGAATATAATTAATTTATTTGACTTCTTTTATTACATAGCATCAAACCATGTAAATTTGAATATGAACAAAATAATAAAGAATCAACACCGACGAATATGTTACAAACTCGTTTCAATAAACTAATAAAACAAAAGCCATGGTGCCATTTCTTAGAACCTTCAACGTCTACACTCAGGAGGGAGACCCTGAGGGAAGCGCTTCACATCTGTGCAGTAGTTGTAGATCATGTAATACTTCTGTACCCATCTGAGTCTTCTTCGGCTCGTTGCATCGAGTTCTTGAGTCTGCCAAGCACTATCTGTGAAAGAATTCGTAGACTTGGAGCTGCAAGAAGAGGATCCAGCAGACCAGACACAAGCATTGGCATTGAAGTTCCTGTAGTAAGCAGTGAAGGGTGCTTTGGTCCAATCAGTTTTCACTAGGCCACCTCTTGTCGCCCAGTCATCGGCGTTCCAGAGACTGGAGTAGATTCTCATGGGTTGGTTCTTAGGGAAAGGAACGCCTCTCGCTTCTGCGTTGTTGAATTCTCTGATAGGAATGTTGTCCACCAAGAATCTGCAGAAACAAGAACACAAATATCTATTAATAAAATGAAATTAGTTCTCAACTTATGATTAAATTAATCAGATTAGAGATTGTCCTTCTTACATGATCCTTTGTGGGTTCCAGACGATTGAATAGGTGTGGAAGTTCCTGGTAGGGTCGAACCAGAGATAGAACTGTTGCTCTCTGTTTCCCTTCCCTTGTGTGAATACATTGGTGTGAAGGATGTAAGGGTCTCCACTTAGGTTTCCCAAGAACTCGAAGTCGATCTCATCATGCGTTGGTCCTTGAGAAGATAACTGCACGACAAAACAGTGAGATATGAACATTAGGCTACAAGCTAGAGTCCTGTGTTTTAATCCACAGGATTTAAGTTAAGGATTTGAGAGTTTTATCAAAATGAAATAGGGAATGAGAATTACATAGTAGGCAGTCACTGTGCCGGCAGAGTTTCCGGCGACGAGCTTGAGCTGCATATCAATCCTCCCGAAGAGATATTCTTTCTTGGACTGGAAGCCGGAGCCAGAAGTCTTGTCGAGGGAAAGGGAGAGAAGCTGTCCTCCATTGAATATCTTGGCACGATGGTCACCCCATGTGAGGTCAAAGTCTTGGTAGAAGTTAGCAGCATAAGCAGCCATTAGAGAGCTCATGATCAAAGCTGACATGAGAAGGTCTGAAAGCCTATGAGCAAACGCCATGTTTGGCACTTAAGCGAGCAAGCAAGAGAGAGGGAGAGGGGTTTTGACTTGGTGATGAATGGCGTTGGGTTTAGGGGGAATTTATACAGAGAGGGAATATGTCGAGGGATAAGGACCAAGGAAAAAGGAAATGCCCGTGAAGGAGAGAGAGAGAGAGAGAGAGAGAGAGAGAGAGAGAGAGAGGTTTATGGTGGAACGAGATGACGCGTGACCACAAAATAGAGCGCAAAGCTGGCAAGCACAGCTGGGAAATTTGAAACTGGAGCCACCGAGCCAAGAAGACATGGGCGGAGGGGTTGAGATCCTTCGTTTTAATTTCTGCGTACGTAGGTTGGTTTTTGTTATTTTATTGGAGTGAACGACGGTGGTCCCTTCTCCTGCATTGCTTTTGTTTCTTTATACTTTGGATTTTATTACCAAACAGCTGTCAAAGATGGGATCTATGTGGATGTATGCTTATTTGTCCATGTTGGATCATGATTTTGTTGGAGTTATTAATTATGTGGGACCCAAGAAAGAGAAGATTCACTGAAAGTTTAAAACATATATAGCTGGAATTGGGATGTATGAGTAGTGGGCCCACTAATTGATTGGTGGCTTCTGTGTGGTCAGGACCCACCCATGATGTCCATTTCATCTGCAATTGACATGTGTATGCACCCATGGATTATGTGGGTTGGGGCTGATTCCCTACACATCCTAGGGGCTAAACCCTAGATTAACCATGTAGGTTCTGGATGATTCTCTACATCTCAGAGCTGTTCACAGAGATATGAAATGTATTAGTTTTTTTTTTCTTTTTTATTTGGCTCCATGTATTGGTTTTTATTAGTTTTTTTTTTCCTTAGTTGGCAATTATATTTTATGTCAAAAAATATTCTTTTAAATTTGTATCATGATATTTTTTTATAGGTATATAACCCTGCGCTGATAATTGCATTTTGTCCTATTAAATACCCTTTTTCTTTACATTCCTGCCTTTGAATTTAGAGTTTAATTTCAAAATTTTCCATTATAATTTTAATTATTATATTACTGTTCAATAATAGAAAGCCAAGTAGTTGGATTGGTATTGAATATTTTCTCCACATTCCTCATGGAATCCTTGTTCCACTTCTTTAATGAAATTAAAGACCCATTATTTGCAGTGCAAAAGGGGCCAGGATTTTTTTACTAGTCTAAATATTTCAACTACATTTATAGTCCTTCTCTATGATCAAAACATATTGTTCTATTTTTGATAAATTTGAAACTTTATTTCATTTATAATAAAGAGTCACATGAAAAATATATATCCTCTGTAATCAAATACTATATAGCGCCATGTTAAGATCACTATACATAAATTATTTATATTAGGTTTAGAATAACATACTATTTATACTGGAAAATAAATTTTGGTATCTTAAGGTAAAATATTACAAATACATTAATCTAAGATTTCATGTACTCTAAGAAAAGAAAAAACTACGATTTCCAAGTCAAAAAATTGGGTAAACCTCTAAAACCTATTTGGGGTAGTTTTGATTTTTATTTTTAAATCAAATAACATGTTTTTTTTTTTGTAAAAGAAAATATAGTGGTTTATGCAAGATTTTTAAAACCGACTCAGAGAATAAACTGGTCAGATGTCCAATTCCAGGTTGAACGGTCCGACAGTTCGAATCTGACAAAAAATTAAAAAAATAAAATAAAAAAACGATCAAAATCGTTTGAACGGTTTGAACAATTAATCGTCCGGATCAGCGGTTTATTAACCGAAATCAACGGTTTTTGAGAAAAATCTAATTTTAAGGAAAAATGAAATTGGTCACCTAATCGGTTCCCGATTCTCTGGTCCAACCATCCGGTCCAGTCTAGCTTTGAAAACCATGGGTTTATGGGTAGAGATGTGATGAATAGAAAAAATAGAGAAGCACACAAAGAGAAGAAAATATAATTATGGGCATACTAAACTAAAGGGAAGAAAATGTGTATTGACTTTAGAGAAAGAAAACGTGTATTGCAAAAACTGTTGGCTCCACTGATTCTATGTCTTTTCACATTTTATCTTTACACATGGCAGCTGAGTTGGAGAGATGGGGGCCACACATTCTACCATCGTTCACACACTTCACCAACAAACTTTGAGCCCAATGGAACTTTACAGCTTTGCTAAACGGGGAAATAAAAGTCTTTCCTTTCCTTCACATCAATCAAATAGAAAATAGTTACATGGGAAAATTTTGAGGCATTGTTGGATCTGGGGAAGATGTGGCAGGAAAAACTTCCATGTTTGAAAAAGTTGTTCAGTGGATGGTTTAGATTGGGCCCACCAGAAATTAGGTGTCAGAGAACTTAATGCATAATTACAGAATGACCCCTTTTGCAAATGGGCAATTACACCTGTATATCATTTTGTTTGAGATTCATTGTTTATTTGTTTTGATTAATTGACTTCTTTATTTAAGTTTAAAATTTAAATTATATTTATAATTGATAATCTTTGTCTAATAAAATGAGACCCATGTCATTGAAAATTTTTATAATGAATTTTTTTATTTGAATTAGAAAATTAAATTTGAAAATTTATATAGTCCATACACCTTTTTATAAGTAATCAAATATTAGCATCGTCCAGTGGAGTTAACTAGTCTCACTAGTGAGTAGAAACATGTCGAAGGAAGAAGGCCTCTATTTGACAGTGGAAACACCAACTTTTTAGATACTATTTTCTGAAAAAAAAGGTTGCCACGTGTCTAAAAGAGAAGTTCTCTAGTTTGAGGATTTTCATTTATATATATTAGAGAATGACCCCTCATAGGGGCATGTACTCTAATATTTTTTTTATTCATGTATTCTGATAAATTTTGTTTGACACCCATTTTTTATGTTGTAAATTTATGCTATTATTTTGATATTTTTTATATATAACTTTGTTATTTAATTTAAGAGATTAGATAAAGTTTTATTTCTAAATAATAACTCACTTTATAGATCTTGCAGCACTAACCTTTTTGAATATAACATTTTTCTTGAATTGTTTTTTTCTTTTTAATGGATGTAAGCCGATAGGGGCGTATCGAGCGAATCGATACTGCATTTTGTGTCATTTTTATTTTCTTTTGCAATTGGTTTAGGGGGGCCGGTTTAGGGCTCCTCCACCCCCTAAACCGGTAAGACTCCTGATACACACATTGTAAGGGCGTATCGGAGGGGTCCCGAAATGATACGTATCGACCAATACGGGCCAATACGTGTCGATACATTAAACCTTGGGAAGAAAGCTTTTGATTGAAAATGGGAATAATCACTTTTAAGATTAATGTTCTTTGATGTCACTTGTCTCGGAAAAAAGCTCTCTAATTTGAGAGCTTTCCTTTATGTGGGAACTGATGGAGGGTGATTTAACCCGATCCCTTGAGACGGTGACACGTGGACATGACTCAGCATAAGTAACAGCTCAGCATCATAGCCTGACCGCGACTAAGTAACGGGCCTGCAGGACATCTTGCTATGTCACAGCTCGCCATAGGAGGAGCTTGCTATAGGATGAGCTCGAAGACCCTCGATGTACTAAAAGGGAATACTCCAAGACAAGTCTACCCCAGCTCGCGAGCTAGGATAACCAGCTCGCTCCAATACTTAGGCAGAAAAACTGCCTCAAGGGCCAATTCAAGAGGAATCACCTCGCAATACCCTTAGGAGCTCGCTACAAGGTAGCTCGCGACAGGATAGCTCGCTACTAAGCGACGCAATGTTTTCAGGAAGCTTCTGTCTGACAAGACCGTACCCGTCAAACTGTGCCACGTCTCCTGAACGACGGCGCAGCCCTTGCCAGCCCGACAAGACTGCGCCAACGTCTCTTGATAGATGGTGGCGTGTCTGTCCTTCCCGGTCGTGTCACTCACCCGATTCGGTAGTACACTGCAACAGTTACCTGCACAGCCCTGGTAGATAACGGCTGCGACAGAGGTCCAGTGGCGGTTACACCCGATTTGACAAGAACGCTCATATATAAGAGCCCCCTAGTTGAAGGGAAGGACTCTCTTGAATATCTGATATCTTATCTTGAATATCTCGAACTTCTCTCGAGCTAACTCAGTGATCTAGCGCGACCTGCACTCTTAGCCTTCTTTACACTTTTTACTACTTTCTCCAACGTTCTAACTTAAGCATCAGAGTATTCCCACCGGGCAAGTCCCCCGGGAATCCTTCACCGGTCTCTTCTCAGGTATCATCCGTCGCAAATGAGGAGCCAGTCAGCTGCCTACTAGGAGTGCCCGGATTGCACAACATCATTTGGCACCATCTATGGGATACGCTTCAAAAAAGCCTTCCTCTAAGTTTCTACATTTTTTCCTTTTGAGAACTTAGCATTCAAGGCCTCCTCCAGCAACGTCGGATGTGGTGCCAACCAGAACGCTTTTGGAGAGCAACCCCAGCTTCCCACTGTCTGCATCGGACAGTTCAAGGTTGGAGCGACCTTTGCTGAACCTTCGGTTGTGCCCCTAGTGACCAACCAAAATCAGTTGGAAGACTTAGTGCAGTGCATGCGAGCCATGCAAGCTCAAATGCAGCAGTTCCAACTCTACCAGCAACAAGTGTTGCATCAGGTCTCTCAGTACCAGTATCAGTAGCAGTTCCCTTCCTTGCCTCAGGCCCAGTAGCCACTTCCTCTTAGGCACCCGGCCACGAAGCATACCAAGCCCTCCCGCCGGAGCAAATGACCTCGCTGGGGAGAAGCCTCTCAGGCCCAGGATCTCTCCAAGAGCCAAGTCTCTTCCCATGGCAGAAAGGAGAGGCTAGTCACCCCCGCCTCGCAGCCTATGGGCAGGTCGRGGGCCTCCCAGCCAGTCAAGCCCGTATCGCCCCAGCGCTCGCAGTTCGAGCTCCCACTTGCAAAAAATCCGTTTGAGGTCCTAGTTATTGACACCAGGCAGGGCCCTTCAGTCTAGAGCTACCACTAGCAGTCCGAGCCCATCGAGCTTGGTAACACTAAAGCAAGCAACACCAACGCTGAGCCGGCGAGCTCGCCGAACTGCTACCCGTGTCTCGCCCGAGCTCAAAGGTAAAGAGGAGGTGAGCTCAGGTGAAGTAAAAGCTACTCCTCTCCTCTCAGTTCCTTCTCCACTGTCTCCAG